GGAGCTGGATGCATTCCTAAATGCACAAAATATAACTGGATATTAACCTCTTGGTGTCGGCCACATGCAAATGTTCGGCCTCCTGGCGTCTGGGCCTCGACGCCGAACAGCCGCACACTTGCGTGCAATTAAAAAAAAAACATATGTGCTCTATGGACATTGTACAATGTCCATAGTCTCTGGCCATCTCCTTCATCATATCCATAGTCAATGACCATGTCTGCAGTCTCTGATCATTTTCTGTAGTATTACATTCAGTACATATTACGTGTGGCCCTTTAGTGATGTCAGGGGCCTCTCCTGAGTTGTCTTGGTACAGTGTGCCTGTGTATGAAGATGTCAAGTGCCAGAAGGCCCACCTATTTTTTCAGTGAAGTTTATAAACTGCACTGGTTAAATAACAGGCCGCCTATTCGCAGTTTAAAAAAAAATACTCTGGTAAAAAAAAAAATAAAAAAGGGGTTAAAGGGATCAAATGCAGGGAAATTAGCATGTTCTCATAAATGTCATGACATACAGTTGCAAGAAAAAGTATGTGAACCCCTTGGGATTACGTGGAGTTTTGCATGAATTGGGCATAAAATGTGCTCTGAACGTCATCTAAGTCACAACAATAGAAGAACACAGTCTGCTGAACATAATACTACACAAACATTAGATGTTGCCATGGTTTAATTGCACATAACATGTAAACATTCACAGTGCAGGGAGGAAAAAGTATGTGAACCTTTGGACCTAACAACTGGTTGACCCTCCTTTGGCAGCAATAACCTCAACCAAACGTTTCCTGTAGTTGCAGATCAGACCTGCACAACGATCTGGAGTCATTTTGGATCACTCCTCTTCACAAAACTGTTTCAGTGTAGCAATATTATTGGGATGTCTGGTGTGAATCGCTCTCCTAAGGTCATGCCACAGCATTTTAATCGGGTTGAGGTCAGGACTCTGACTGGGCCACTCCAGAAGGCGTATTCTGTGCTGTTGCAGCCATTGTTTTGTTGAATTACTTGTATGCTTTGGGTCATTGCTCTGTTGCATCACCCATCCTCTGCGGAGCTTCAGTTGGCGGACAGATGGTCGTACGTTTTCCTGCAAAATGTCTTGATAAACTCTGGAATTCATTTTCCCATCAATGACAACAATCCCTCCGAGGCAGCAAAGCAGCCCCAAACCATGATGCTCCCTCCGCCATGTTTTACAGTGGGGATGAGGATTTGATGTTGGTGTGCTGGGCCTTTTTTTCTCCACACATAGTGTTGTGTGTTCTTCCCAAACAACTCAATCTTGGTTTCATCTGTCCACAGTATATTTTGCCAGTAGTGCTGTGGAACATCCAGCTGCTCTTTTGCAAACTTCAAACGTGCTGCAATCTTCTTTTTGGACAGCAATGGCTTCCTCCGTGGTGTGCTCCCATGTACTCCGTTCTTGTTTAATGTTTTCCTTATTGTAGATGTGTCAACAAAAATGTTAGCATGTGCCAGAGATTTCTGTAGGTCTTTAGCTGACACTCTGGGATTCTTATTTACCTCATGCAGCATTCTGCGCTGTGCTCTTGCAGTCATTTTTACAGGACGACCACGTCTAGGGAGAGTAGCAACAGTGCTAAACTTTCTCCATTTGTAGACAGTCTGTCTTACCGTGGACACATGAACATCAAGGCTTTTGGAGATACTTTTGTAACCCTTTCCAGCTTCATGCAAGTCAACAATTCTTGATGGTAGGTCTTCTGAGAGCTCTTTTCTGCGAGGCATGGTTCACATCAGACAGTGCTTCTTGAAACCAGTAAACCCAAAACAGGTGTGTGTTTTTTTAAGGGCAGGACAGCTGTCAGCAACACATCCAATATCATCACACTGATTGGAGTCAAGGTTGGCTCACTCCTGGCTCCAATTAGCTCTGGGAGAAGTCATTAAGCTAGGACCTCACATGCTTTTTCCTCCCTGCACTGTGAATGTTTACATGTTATGTGCAATTAAACCATGGCAACATCTAATGTTTGTGTAGTATTATGTTCAGCAGACTGTGTTCTTCTATTGTTGTGGCTTAGATGACGTTCAGAGCACATTTTATGCCCAATTCATGCAAAACTCCACGTAATCCCAAGGGGTTCACATACTTTTTTTCTTGCAACTGTATTTTAAAACAAACTGCAAGCGAGCTTCAAGTGCTGAAGCTTAATAAAGGCGCTAGCAGCTAGTTTGATGGAATGGTCAGTGCTCCCATGGAGATATGTGTGTAACATCTCCAAATTGAACTATGCTAACTATACCCACCTCCCCTCCAGGGATGCGGTATCCAGAAGCTACCTGCCAGCCACTGACATCTTTGGTTGGTCTTTTTCTAGGTTTTGATTAACTGGGCTGAGACAACGTCAGCCCTGCGCATGCATGGGAGTTCATTGTTCTCAGAAGATGCCGGTTTGATGCAGTGCGATGAGGCAGGTATGAATACTGTAACTGAAAACAAAGAAAAACACAGCGCCTCTAAGGGAGTACTGTGAAGGTATTTAATAGAAAGATGACAGACTCAATCGTTCTCCTCTCTGGATCAGACACACAACATCCGGCTACAGACGTCTCACCCTCTTCAGGATTGATCAATATTCAGATCTATACCATAGTTTGTGAACTCTATAACTTTCCTACAAACTATAAAATACATTGTAATTTGGGTTATTTTCACCAAAGACATGGAGCAGAATACATCTCGGCCTAAATTTATGAAGAACAATTATTTATTTGCAAACTTTTATAACAGAAACAAAGAAAAACGTGTTTTTTTTCAAAATTTTTGGTCTTTTTTTGTTACTTTAGCAAAAAATAAAAACCCTAGCGGTGATTAAATACCACCAAAAGAAAAGCTCTAGTTGTGTGAAGAAAATGATAAAATTTTAGTTTGGGTACAATGTTGTATGACCGCGCAATTGTCATTCAAAGTGTGAGAGCGCTGAAACCTGAAAACTGGCCTGGGCAGGAAGGTGTAAAATTGCCGGTATTGAATTGGTTAAACATGGGCAGTAAAAATTTTTTAAAAATCTACATTTCTTCATAAATTGAGGCCAATGTATTCTGTGACATGTCTTTGCTAAATAAAAATCCCAATACGTGTAAATTAATAGGCTTTTGTGAAAGTCATAACCTTTGATACTGAACCTCGTGACACAGAAAATTGGCGACTTCAGTCACAGAGGCACCAGCTAAGCGGCACCAACAATTTGCCCAATCTCAGTCCCTTGGCGGTGGGGGGCAGAAGGGGTACCTGCCCTGGGTTGCCATGTTGAGGGGGTGTGTGCTGGAGATTGGTTCCGCTCCTCATTGACTGAGTGACTTTAGGCTCACTCTTGCTGGAAGGAGGATTTGTCTTTCTCCTCCCTCCAGGCTGCAGAGGGCAGCAGAGAGCCGGGATGCTGGCAGCCCTTCTATCCCTCTGCCTTGTTTTTGGATCCCTTACCTGAGCTGAGGGGAAGGGGACATGAATGGCGGACTGAAGAAAACCCATGTGAGTCAGATATTATCCCATATATACAGCTGAGAAAAGTGAGGCCAGCCTGGGCCGTATTGTATGTTTATCACCCTATAAATGTCCCTGGGGGAGGGGGGGGACTGTCATGGCTGCTTAGCAACTGACTTCACACTGCTGATAGGTCTGGACCGGGCCTACGGTATTTCTGAGCACACATGTATTGTATGCCGTACCACACCGAGTACATGTATGGTGGGATTGTACGTACGCCGTCCACACCGAGTACATGTATTGGACGGGGATTGTACGCCGTCCGCACCGAGTACATGTATGGTGGTTGTACGCCGTCCGCACCGAGTACATGTATGGAGGGACTGTACGCCGTCCACACCGAGTACATGTATGGAGGGATTGTACGCCGTCCGCACCAGGGAGTACATGTATGGAGGGACTGTACGCCAACCACACCGAGTACATGTATGGAGGGATTGTACGCCGTCCGCACCGAGTACATGTATGGTGGAATTGTACGCCGTCCGCACAGAGTACATGTATGGTGGGATTGTACGATGTCCGCACCGAGTACATGTATGGTGGGATTGTACGCCATCTGCACCGAGTACACGTATGGTGGGATTGTACGCCGTCCGCACAGAGTACATGTATGGTGGGATTGTACCCCATCCGCACCGAGTACACGTATGGTGGGATTGTACGCCGTCCGCACCGAGTACATGTATGGAGGGATTGTACGCCGTCCGCACCGAGTACATGTATGGAGGGATTGTACGCCGTCCGCACCGAGTACATGTATGGTGGGATTGTACGCCGTCCGCACCGAGTACATGTATGATGGGATTGTACAAGGCGGGCTTCAATCAGAATGTCCTAGGCCACCTTTTTAAAGACCCGGCCTTTCCTGGCACTCTTTGTTTACATCTAAAAATCCGTCATTTCTTGCTAGAAAATTACCGAGAACCCCCAAATATTATGAATTTTTTTTAGCAGAAGCCCTGGAGAATAAAATGGAGGTCATTGCAATGTTTTATGTCACACGGTTTTTGCGCAGCAGTTTTTCAAATGCATTTTTATTGGAAGAAAACACTTTAATAAAAAAGAAAGTAAAAAAAAAAACAAACCACAATATATACCCCCTTTACCAGTTTGGAGTTACAAAGGAGGTCTGTTGTTAGAATTACCGTATTTTTTCGCTCCATAAGACGCACCTAGGTTTTAGAGGCAGAAAACAGGAAAAAAAATATTCGGAACCAATGGACTGCAGACACAGGAGATGACCAGAGACTGCGGACATAGTACAGGAGATGACCAGAGACTGCGGACATAGTACAGGAGATGACCAGAGACTGCGGACACAGTACAGGAGAGGACCAGAGACTGCGGACATAGTACAGGAGATGACCAGAGACTGCGGACACAGTTCAGGGGATGACCAGAGACTGCTGACATAGTACAGGAGATGACCAGAGACTGCGGACACAGTACAGGAGAGGACCAGAGACTGCGGACATAGCACAGGAGATGACCAGAGACTGCGGACAGTACAGGGATGACCAGAGACTGCGGACAGTACAGGGATGACCAGAGACTGCGGACAGTACAGGGATGACCAGAGACTGCGGACACAGTACAGGAGATGACCAGAGACTGCGGACACAGTACAGGAGATGACCAGAGACTGCGGACACAGTACAGGAGATGACCAGAGACTGCGGACATAATACAGTACAGGAGATGACCAGAGACTGCGGACACAGTACAGGAGATGACCAGAGACTGCGGACACAGTACAGGAGATGACCAGAGACTGCGGACATACAGGAGATGACCAGAGACTGCGGACAGTACAGGAGATGACCAGAGACTGCGGACAGTACAGGAGATGACCAGAGACTGCGGACACAGTACAGGAGATGACCAGAGACTGCGGACACAGTACAGGAGATGACCAGAGACTGCGGACACAGTACAGGAGATGACCAGAGACTGCGGACAGTACAGGAGATGACCAGAGACTGCGGACAGTACAGGAGATGACCAGAGACTGTGGACAGTACAGGAAATGACTGCTGACCTTTGGGGAGGGGGGGGAGCGGGTAGCTGAATTTGACAGGTACCCGCTCTTACTTCCGCGGAGTTGTTCTTTAGTTAGTGTCCGCTCTGCAGCGGGACCTTACCTGTTCCTCTATCCAGCCACCTGCTGTCTTCCCGGCTTCTGTAGTGTGGGCGCTCTGCTTGACAGCCGGGTGCCCAGTGCGCATGAGCGAGAAGCGCTGCGCTTTGTGATTGGTCCGGCGGCTTCTGGGATCTGTCATGTGTCCCAGGTGCCGCCTTACCATTCACAAAGAGCACCGCTTCTTGCACATGCGCACTTGGCACCTGGCTGTCAAGCCGATCGCCCACACTACAGAAGCCGGAAGACAGCGCGCCGCTGGATAGAGGAACAGGTAAGGTCCCGCTGCAGAGCTGAGCGGCCGGCCTGTATTCTGACACGGAGGCGGTGGAAATACCGGACCAGCCACTCCATATTCGCTCCATAAGACGCACTGACATTTACCTCTTTTTTTGGGGAAAAAAGTGAGTCTTATGGAGTGAAAAATACGGTATTTCGCTCACTTTGATGTTCGCGGCGATACCTCACATGTGTGGTGCGATCACCCTTTACATATGTGGGCGTGACCTACATGTGTGTTCACCACTGCGCGCAAGCACAGGGGGACGGGGGGGGCGCTATAATTTTTTTTTTTTATTATTTTATGTTTTTTTTTTCTTTGTTTTTTTTACACTGTCCTTTTACATTTTTTTTTAATCAGTTTTTTTTGCTACCGCAAGAAATGTAAACATCGCATGCGATAACAATACAGCATGACAGGTCCTCTTTATGGAGAGATCTGGGATCTATAAGACTCCATATCTCTCATCTACTTTTTAAAAGCGAAATGCTGGAACAGGAAGTGACATCATGATGATGCTCTGATCTTCCTAGGCCATAGAGATGAGTGAAGGCCATCTTTCCTCCACTCATTGCTATGCCCTGCTGCGGCAGATCGGTTCCCAGAGCTACCAATCGTCATAAATTTAGGCCAAAATGTATTCTGTGACATGTCTTTGCTAAATAAAAATCCCAATACGTGTAAATTAATAGGTTTTCGTGAAAGTTATAGCGTTTACAAATGGCGGTATATATACTGGGATATTTTTTTTTTATACTAGTAATGGCGGCAATCAGCGAGTTAGAGTGGGACTGTGGCGGGCATTCTGACCATAACTGACACTGACTAACTGCCACTGACATCTCCAGTGACACTAATACAGTGATCACGTATATACACATGATTTTGCGCAGCCCCACCTCCCTGTAGCAGTACTTCTGCTATAGGGTGGTCGGGAAGCGGTTAAAATGGTTTGTGTATTTTCATTGCTGCCTTTGAAGCCACATAACATACCCTGTCCCTGCTGTATAGTGTATTTATTTGGTACATGCCCCCCTTGGCAGCGCACAGCTTCTCGGGATTTTTTATATACAGTGGTAGCCTATTAGCTCTAAGAATGGCCAGAATTCAGCAACAAGATTCATTCCCTATAGACTCCGCCTCTAAGTTGGGGTTTCCCTCATTTTGAATGAGATCCACCCTGGAAGAACTAAACTCCGGCAAATTCGCCCGTCACTAAATCCGATGCTGCAGCTCCATCTGGTCCCATCGCATTCTGCATTGAATGTAAAGTATAAAGAGACCTGAGAAACAATGACCTGACTCCCTGGTTTATGATCAGCGGGAAACCCCATGAAAAAGGGGTGTGGCCTTAATATATGGGACTGAGTGGATATCACAGCTATTTTTCACCTCGGGGTCAGTAGCAGATAGATGTCCTTATTAATCCAACCGTATTACAGATCATTTATTTAAAGTGTTACTAAAAAACACAACAGTAAAATCAGTCGGTATATGCAGTCATGCATGCTTGTTCTACTCACTGTGGGACCTAAGGGGTTAATCCTCTGCATTATCTAAAGAGGCTGTTTGATCTTGTCTTCTTCGATCCTTCTTTTCTTCTACTGTCCCCAATCTATTTGCTGATAGAACAGAGCCTTTGGAGTCACTCTGTACATGCTCAGCTTAGTGTGTATGTGCTAGAGTGTTTTTTTTTTTTCTTGGGAGAGTGCATGTGAACAGCACAGGGCCAATCAGCGCTATCCAGAGGGTCAGGGGTCATGCAGCCTCATAGGGCAGTCATAGGAGAATGAAAAAACTCCTCCTACTAGCTTTAACCAGTGCTCTGCTGGACACTGATAGAAGTCACAAGGCTGCTGTATGCTGCTGATGAGTAAAGGTATTTAGCAGTTTATATTTACGAAAATAATTGCATTTCCGTGTTTTGTGTACTGTGGGAGACCAGATATGGTGAATGCAGGGCCCAGGGAGAGCGGATATAGTGAATGCAGGGTCCGGGAAGACCAGATATAGTGAATGCAGGGTTCGGGGAGAGCGGATATAGTGAATGCAGGGCCCGGGGAGAGCGGACATATAGTGAATGCAGGGTCTGGGGTGACTAGATATAGTGAATGCAGGGTCCCGGGGAGACCAGATATAGTGAATGCAGGGTCCAGGGAGGCCAGATATAGTGAATGTGGGGTCCAGGGAGGCCAGATTTAGTGAATGCGGGGTCTGGGGAGACCGGATATAGTAGTGAATGCAGGGTCCGGGAGACCGGATATAGTGAATGCAGGGTCCGGGGGAGACCGGATATAGTGAATGCAGGGTCCGGGGGGGAGACCGGATGTAGTGAATGCAGGGTCTGGGGAGACTAGATGTAGTGAATGCAGGGTCCGGGGAGAGCGGATATAGTGAATGCGGGGTCCGGGGGAGAGCGGATATAGTGAATGCAGGGTCCGGGGGAGACCAGATATAGTGAATGCAGGGTCCGGGGAGACCAGATATAGTGAATGCAGGGTCCGGGGAGAGCCAGATATAGTGAATGCGGGGTCCGGGAGAGAAGATATAGTGAATGCGGGGTCCGGGGAGAGCGGATATAGTGAATGCGGGGTCCGGGGAGAGCGGATATAGTGAATGCGGGGTCCGGGGAGACCAGATATAGTGAATGCAGGGTCCGGGGAGAGCGGATATAGTGAATGCAGGGTCCGGGGAGGCAGATAGTGAATGCAAACTCGGGTAGGAGAGCGGATATAGGTGCAGGGTCGGGGGTTACTGACCTGCGGATGCAATAGTGATATATGCAGGGTCCGGGGTCTATATATGTACAGTATATAACCCATCAGGTGCTAAAGGGGTGTGACCACATGTTTAAACTAAAAATTCTGACAACTCTCTGCACGTTTCTTAAACCTCCTTTCTAGCAAACTTTGCACAAAAACAGGGATTTTTAGTTTACATACATTGCAATATATGTTTAAGCCGGCCAACTACGTCAAAGTAATCCCTCTCTGGCCAGTCCCTAATCTACGCTGCAAAGTACTTGCTTATAGCATACTTATTTATTTTTTACAGGTACTTATATAGGGCCGTCAATTATGCAGCGATTTTACATATAACTTTAAATACATGCGCTAATGTGACAAATCATATACAGTATGCCAAAATAGAATAAAATATGTTGCCGCTGTTCCTAAAGTGAAAAACACTTTAAATAATAATAAATCAATAATACAGCGCAAACAATGCTTAAATGTGAAATAGTGAAAAAGTCCCCAACAAACTGTCCTTCAAAGAGATTTTTCTGTTGCAGGTGAAAAATGCGAAAAACTAGAATATTGTGCAAAAGGTCATTTATTTCAGTGCAGCAACTTAAAAGGTGAAACTAATATATGAGATAGACTCATTACATGCAAAGCAAGATAGTTCAAGCCGTGATTTGTCATCATTGCGATGATTATGGCTTACAGCTCATGAAATACATTACTGAAATAAATGAACTTTTCCACGATATTCTAATTTTTTTGAGTTTCGGACCCCTGCAAATCATGGAGGGGTCTGAAATTCACATTGTAGGTCCATTCCCACTCTGAGAGACAGAATTGAAAAACAAAATTCAGGAAATCACATTGTATGATTTTTAAAGAATTTATTTGTCTTGCACTGCTGAACATAAGTATTTGAACACCTGAGAAAATCAGTGTTATTATTTGGTACAGAAGCCTTTGTCTGCAATTACAGAGGTCAGACGTTTCCTGTAGTTCTTGACCAGGTTTGCACACACTGCAACAGTGATTTTGGCCCACTCCTCCACACAGATCTCCTCTAGATCTGTCAGGTTTTGGGGCTGGTCTCATCTGACCACATGACTTTCCCCCATGCCTCCTCTGGATCATCCAGATGGTCATTGGCAAACCTCAGACAGGCCTGGACATGTGATGACTTGAGCAGGGGAACCTTCCGTGCAATGCATGATTTGAAACCATGACGGCGTAGTGTTCTACCGACAGTGACCTTTGAAACTGTGGTCCCAGCTCTCTTCATGTCATTGACCAGCTCCTCCCTTGTAGTTCTGGGCTGATTCCTCACCTTTCTTATCATCAGTGATACCCCACGAGGTGAGACCCCAGTCCGAGGGAGACTGACAGTCATCTTTAGCCTTTTCCATTTTTCTAACAATTGCTCCAACAGTTGATCTATTTTCACCAAGCTGGTTGGCAATTGCCCCGTAGCCCTTTCCAGCCTTGTGGAGGTCCACAATTTTGTCTCTGGTGTCTTTTGACAGCTCTTTGGTCTCGCCCATGGTAGTAGGCGTCTGACTGACTGTGGGGTAGACAGGTATCTTTAAAGAGCTCAGACAGGTGCTACTACGTTAGAATAATGAGTGGAGTAGAGGTGGACCTTTTAAAGGCACAGTAACAGGTATTTGAGACCCAGAATTCTTGCTGTTTCTTAGGTGTTCAAATACTTATGTTCAGCAGTGCAAGACAAATACATTCTTTAAAAAAACATACAATGTGATTTCCTGAAATTTTTGTTTTAATTCTGTCTCTCAGAGTGGAAATGCACCTACAATGTGAATTTCAGACCCCTCCATGATTTCTAAGTGGGAGAACTTGCAAAATCGCAGGGTGTTCAAATACTTCTGTTCCTCACTGTATATCCAACAAGGGATATCCTTTATATCAAAGAGACATCCTCCATGTCCAGCAAAGAGACATCCTCTATATCCAGCAAGGGATATCACCCATATCCAGCAAGGGAGGGATATCACCCATATCCAGCAAGGGATATCACCACCCATATCCCATCACCCATATCCATCAAGGGAACCCATATCCATCAAGGGATATCACCCATATCCATCAAGGGATATCACCCATATCCATCAAGGGATATCACCCATATCCATCAAGGGATATCACCCATATCCATCAAGGGATATCACCCATATCCATCAAGGGATATCACCCATATCCAGCAAGGGATATCACCCATATCCAGCAAGGGATATCACCCATATCCAGCAAGGGATATCACCCATATCCAGCAAGGGATATCACCCATATCCAGCAAGGGAATCACCCATATCCAGCAAGGGAAATCACCCATATCCAGCAAGGGAAATCACCCATAGCCAGCAAGGGAAATCACCCATAGCCAGCAAGGGAAATCACCCATAGCCCAGCAAGGGAAATCACCCATAGCCAGCAAGGGAATCACCCATAGCAAGGGAATCATCACCCATAGCCAGCAAGGGCTATCACCCATAGCCAGCAAGGGATATCCATCACCCACAGCCAGCAAGGGATATCAGCCCCACCCAGCCATCAAGGGATATCACCCATAGCCATCAAGGGATATCACCCACATCCATCAAGGGATATCACCACATCCATCAAGGGATATCACCCATATCACCCAAGGGATATCACCCATATCCATCAAGGGATATCACCCATATCCAGCAAGGGATATCACCCATATCCAGCAGCAAGGAAATCACCCATAGCCAGCAAGGGAATCACCCATAGCCAGCAAGGGAAATCACCCATAGCCAGCAAGGGATATCACCCATAGCCAGCAAGGGATATCACCCATAGCCAGCAAGGGATATCACCCATA